AGTAGCTGGGATTACAGGCGCCTCCCACTACACACAGCTAATTTTTGTATTTTTAGTAGAGACAGGGTTTTACCGTGTTTCCTAGGCTGGTCTCAAACTCCTGACCTCAGATGATCCACCCACTTCGGCCTCCCAAAGTGCTAAGATTATAGGCATGAGCCACCACGTCCGGCCCCTTGAATGATTTCTAGTGCATCATCCTGCTCCGTTGGTCCATATATGAGGTCACAGCCCAGCAGGGCTGGAGGGCAACAGGAAGGGCAGCCTCTGTCCCGCTGTGCCCTCTCCTGCACACCCCTTGCTGACAGCCATTGGCCCTGCTTGCACACCATGAGTCAGCCCTGCCTCAGAAGAGTTCTTTCTTGCTGTGCTGGGACTGGGCTAGGTCCTTCCCAGGCCCCTAAGTCAGCCGTGGTAGTGAAATTCCCCAGAGTTGGGATCTGAGGCAAGTCATTTCCAAAACACCTTTCACTCCTCTAGCCCTGCATCACCCAGACCCAAGGTCTGACCCCTGCCCCAGGTCCAGAGGCTTCCCCTCCACATTCCCCCGGCACCTCCCACTGCTCTATTCCAGCCTCCTGCTCATCTCCACTCATCTGATTGGACAGCTTTGCTTTTTTCTTCATGGTCAAAACTGAGGCCACAGAGCACGGTCCTTCCCACTTCCACCCACTTTCCACAACTCCTTCCACCAGTCTTCAAGGCCGAGGAGTCCCTCTTCCCCAGTCCTCTCCCTATCCCTGTCCCCAAGCTCTCCTTCCTATCAGCTTCTTTTGGACACCCTACAAAGGTGCTCTGGGATGGGGTATTCAATTCCCGGGGCTGCTGCCATGAGGTCCCACAAACTGAGTGGCTTCAAATAACAGAAACTGATTCTCTCACAGTTCCGGACACCAGAAGTCCAAAATCACAGATATTCTCCTCACATCAAGCATGTAAACATACATACACACACATATATATACACACATACACATATGCATATATTTATACACATATGCAGATGCTCCTTGACTAATGATGTTGGCTACATCTGATAAATCCATAGTACGCTGGAAATATCAGGAGCTGAAAATGCATTGAATACACCTAACCGACCCAGCATCACATCTTAGTCGAGCCTACGTGCTCAGAACACTTATATTAGCCTAGAGTTGGGCAAAATCACCTAACACAAAGCTTGTTTTATAATAAAAAGGTGAACAGCTCATGTAATTTTCTGAATACTGTACTGACAGCAAAACTAGAATGGTTGTATGGGTACCTGAAGTACGGTTTCTACTGTATTTGTATTGCTTTTGCACCCTTGCAAAGTCAAAAAATGGTTTAAGTTGGGGACTGCCACAAAAAGTGGCACTCTGCACACCCTGTTCTGCACCGGCTTTGTTTTAGTTTGGTTTTCACATACTGAATCCTAGAAATGACTCCATATCAGCACATAAGAAGTTGCACTGCTTTTTTTTTTTTTTTTTTTGGGACAGAGTCTTGCACCATTGCGCAGGCTGGAGTGCAGTGGTGCGATCTCAGCTCACTGCAACCTCTGCCTCCCGGGTTCAAGTGATTCTCCTGCCTCAGCATCCTGAGTAGCTGAGATTACAGGCATGTACTACCACACCCAATTAATTTTTGTATTTTTAGTAGAGACGGAGTTTCACCATGTTGGCCAGGGTGGTCTCGAACTGACCTCAGGTGATGCGCCCCCAAAGTGCTGAGATTACAAGCGTGAGCCACCACGCCCAGACTGCCCCGCTCATTTTCCCAGCTGCATGGCATTCCGTCATGTGAGTGTACCAGAACTGCTAGAACCAGTCCCCTACAAATGGACTTAGCTTGTTCTAGTCTTTGGCTGGCACACATCCTCTGCAGTGAATATCCACACCTGCAGTGATTTCTCACACACACACACACACACACACACACACGCACACCCGTGGGATGAATCCCTCGTGTCAAACTGCTATCCTCTGGGGTTATTCATGGATATACTCGCATGAGTGCAGGCCACAGTGGGGGCCTGTTTGCCCACAGTGCTGCTAGCTGCTCACGCTTGGTACTTGCACTTACTCTACACTGCAGGAACACGCCCCACTTGTACACAGATTGGCAATTTCACTTTCTCTGGAGTCTGTACTCCCTTTCCATCAACCAGACCCGCCCCCAGAGCAGGGCCATTTCTCTGCTGGGCGCCTTATCACTGTGTGGCTTATCAAGCCCAGAGCAGAGAGTGCTGCACCCAGGGCATGCAGCAACTGGCAAGGAGTTGCCTTTGTGGGCGCCCATGCATGGGGGTGACCGAGGGTGGCCAGACACCTGCCTGGCTATGGTGCTACCTGAAAACATTGATGGTTTTAGCTGAAGGGGCCTCCTCCATCACTTCCACGGCCTCCTCATCATTGAAATACTCTTCATAGATGTCAATGGCATTGTTCTGCTTGATGCAGTGCTCCATGATCTAGGGCGGACACGTCAGAAGTTCTTAGTGGTAAGGGAAGGTCCTTTCAGATTGCCCAGGCCTGCAATGGAGTCTGGGAGGGACAGGTCATAGCCAGGGGCCTTTTCCCATCCACTTACCCATGTGCTTTCAATGGGGCAATTTTCAATTGGTTCTTGGGGGTAAAATAATATTACTTTTTATGTACAAAGCATAGAAGTACCACGCAGCGCATGAACAGATATACAGTATGTCTATGGCATTAACATTTGATGGGCCAGGTGAGGTGGCTCACGCCTATAATCCCAGTACTTTGGTAGGATGAAGCGGGCGGATCACTTGAGGCCAGGAGTTTGAGACCAGCCTGGCCAACATGGTGAAACCCCACCTCTACCAAAAATACAAAAGCAAATTAGCCAGGCATAGTGGCGGGCGCCTGTAATCCCAGCTACTTGGGAGGCTGCGGCAGGAGAATTGCTTGAACCCGGGAGGTGGAGATTGCAGTGAGCCAAGATTACGCCACTGCACTCCAGCCTGGGTGACAGAACGAGACTCTGTCTCAATAACAACAACAGCAACAAACATTTTATGGAGGTAGGAGGCCATTAGAAAAAACACGAGGGGCGCCCGGGCGCCGGGCTCAGCTGTAATCCCAGCACTTTTGGAGCGCGACGGGTGGATCTACGAGGTCAGG